TTTGAAGAATCAGTGTTTTTATTGGTGCTTTCACACATACACAAAACTCCCTAGATTTTTCCTGCTTATACCCCTGGTAAAATTTCTACGTGTGTGCTAAAGGTTCTTGTTTATCACAGACAAGCAAAGTAAAGTAGTGTACATCATACTTGTTTTATTTTATGATGTAATTATACTTCAACTTCTTGTATCTTAAGACCACATCATTTCTGATGAGGACATTTTTATACTTGTGGTTAAGCTCATTGATTGAGAGTCCTATTGGATATGAAAATCCAACAAGCCATAGACTTCTACAACCTGTTGAAACATTCAAACATAACTGAAATACATCATTAAAATGTCTCAATCACTCTTATAAGGTCTTTCTTGTATGGTTATACGTATTACACTTTATTAACCATTTATGAAAACATCTCAGTGTGTTCTCGCTTCTGTTTGCAGAGACGGAGGACTCGTGCAAAGTTTGCTGCAGGGGAAAAGACGGCGCCTGTTCTCCCTTCATCCAGTCCAACGGCAGTTTCCTTTTCCTCCGCAAAGGCAAACCCTGCACTGTGGGCTTCTGTGACGAAGGAGTTAGTCAACTAAATCTTCATATCTGTTTGATTTATGTACAGGACTCCAGCGGATCCTATCATGTTGAATCATATTTATTGTATTTTGAGGTTTCTTGGCTGCCTGGAGAGCATTCTACTTTCTCTCATTAAAACAGGGAAAGTGCATGAAGCAGGTGCAGGACGTGATAGAGAGGTTGTGGGATTTTATCGACAAGCTGGACATTAATACATTCGGTAAGCTCAACAGGCCGCTTTTAAATCTTATCGGTCACTGAGAATGTGTGAAATGGTTCCCAATGAACTTTCTGTTTGTTTGTTTGCACTTTCTATCCCCTGCGCCACCTCACTTTCAGGGAAGTTCCTGGCTGATAACATTGTGGGCTCCGTGGTGGTGTTTTCCCTCGTCTTCTGGATTCCTCTCAGTATCCTGGTTCACTGTGTGGTAAGAAACAACGGGACATTGATTAACACTGGTTCCAAGTGTCTTCTTAGTGTCACTTTTACTGTCCTTATCGTAATCTGCAGTATTGGAGGTACATCTTTTCGAAACAAGCTAAAGACTTAATCCTGCTCCGTTTGTTTTTTCTTCTTCTGCAGGACAAGCGACTTGACCAGCAGTACGAGGAGAACACAAAGTGCTTCTACTTCCCCCAAAGTGTAAGTTTCTCTTTTTCCTAGCAGCCCATTTATTGTATGACTTTGCACAAGCCTTGCTGCAATACTAACCAAACTAATACTGATCCACATCCTTTCTTTTAAACCCACTGACATATTTAATAACAAAGGGGGGGGGGGGCACGGAGGCTGGTTGTACCGGACACGTTGTAACCTGAGGATTAGTGTTCCACACTACAGAATACAACGTGTTGATTCAGCAAAAGTCCTGTCAAGAGGAGAATAAATTAGAATAAATGACCAACAAAATATCCAAATAAATAATAAATCAATTTAACAGTGTTTGAAACATTAAAGAGATTTAGAAGTTAAATGTGAAAAAAATCAGAATTATCCTTTTTTTTTTCCTCAATCAGCTTTTACTCCAAGGCGTAGAGTAGTACTTGAGCACACAATTAATGTGCTTTACACACATGAAGAATCCTTCTGTGTTGATGTCTGTTCTATTTTTCATTAGTTTCAAAATGTTAAGTTTTTTTTGTGCATCCAATCTGGATTTTCAGGGTCTGACTGTAATTCCTTCGGGGTTTTTAGTTTATGCTTAGTCTGATAAATAACTACAACATAAAATATAATCTTATGCACACAGTTCTGACTACGCAGATAATCTGAGTTACGTACCTGAAGGTGTCACTTTAAAAAAGGGTTTAAGCCCCAGGTATTCAATAGATTTAAAGTATCATGCTAATTAACATTCAAAGGCAGGAATGCCTTATTTTTGCACTTTGATATTATTTATTGTATCTTTTGACACTTCTACTGTATGTCACCCTACTACAGCACATAAATACTCTTAAATCCTTAAAACACTCTCGAGAAAATATTGAGAGATGTTGATGCTACAGTCATGAAAATAAAGACGTGAGAGCAGAAGTGAGACACAGATGGATCTAGAATCTGATACATCTCCTAACCTGAAGCAGTGTTAGCTAGCGGTCTGGTTCTTGGTCAATAAGGGCCTCACTGTCGATGCTGGGCTCCAAATGACCTGTCCATCCCTCTTTGCCTTGGCCCCTCTCCGTTTTCATTGGAACTGCAGCAGATGGTGGAAGTTTGTAGTAGAGCTCCTGCCCTAGGTGAGTGCGTGTGCCATGCTTTGGTGTTGCGATGCATTGCCATTGAGTCCATGATGATGCATGGTCAGTGGCCCACGTTTGGGATACTCCTGCAGTCACTTACTTCTTGACGTAATCACTGATGTGATCGTTTATATCCAACCATCAAACGCAATCCTCTTGCATCCGTGTGAGATGAAGGGAGGAAGAAACGAAATATTGAGTAATAAATTAAAGAACCGGTGCAAGTTTGTTCCTCTGCACAGGTGTTGTCCCTGCAGAGACGCATCTGATCAGAAATTACCTCAAGAAAGCAAGATTGCAGTGTCAGAGTATACAAACAGAGAAAGGACTGAACAGGTTGCACCTTGTTGTCTTTTTGTGAAATCTGAGGCAGTGTGTGTCGACATTTTTAAGTTTGCATCTGCTGCTGTTCAGAGCCCTAACATGAAGAGGGTTTTGTCCTTTAGGTGATTGTGTTTCTTCACCTTGGTGTCTTCTTGTAATGGCTGTCTGCACTGTGTTGAGTCCTATCAAATCTTTGAATGGGAACACGAAGAGACTGAGGGCACATTCCTCTACACCTTTTTTTCTCACAGCAGACATTCTGACCTGTATCAGGTACAGCAGAGGCGTATGACATTAATGATGGCTTGATTCCATTTAGGTGAGAATTTAAGTCCTACAAGTGAGCCAGCATGCACATTATCAGGGCCCTTGAGCTCTAAATGGACGGCAGCCATTTTTCATATTAGTTACACTTCTGTTTGACAAGGAAAAATGTCCACTGTGAGAAATGTTTGTTTTACTCATTCCTAGTTTTTAAGGGAGGGTTAGGGGTTAAAATGAAAAGCAGAAAGTATATAACTATATCCTATTTTCCCTTAAGGTACAAAAGAAAAAAAAAATCAGGATTTTGATCAAGTTTGATTGTTAAACTTGAATAACTTTTCGTAGAAATATCTGATGGAGCAAAATGGAGTAAAAGGGGAATGGATCCCACCTCAGTCAGCAACAGTCAGCTTCCATAGGCTTTGGTCTCACGTGTTTGTTTGTTTTTCGCTCCTTAGAGTCAAGAAATGCTGAGCAACCCCGAGTCAACATCCATGCGCATCGTCAAGCCTCTCTCCTCCTCCGGCGGCCGGACCGCGCCCTCCTTCCTGCCCCCTCAGCAGCTGAGCCAGGCCGCCGCACCTCTCGTGGCCAGCAGCAGCAGTACCCTGGACCCCGGTCCGAACTACGTCCCCACCCCGGACAGCGCAGGGGGGCTTCGGATGGCCACCATCCAGGAGGACAACAGCAGCGACTCTCACCAGGGAGAGGAGGGCCTGTCGGACGATTTCACAACCGCAGGAGCCTCCTCGTCGGCTATGAAATCCTCCTACGAGGATCTGACAGAACAGAACCTGTCGGCAAGGGACCGGCGGCGCCTCAAGAGGCAGGATTGCATTGACACTAAAGAGACCGAGTGCTGAGAGCGAAAACAACCAGCACTCATATGTGTTTTAGGGAACATGTTAATTCACGCTGCAACATATACCTTGCTTTTTTTCTCTCATTCTGCACAGCAAGTGTTGAAAGGTAAAAAAAAAAAAAATGTCAATGACATTTCGATTTGGTGTTTAACAGAACTAAAGACCTGATTTCAAGGACATTAGATGTGGATATTATTCAGTCAGTTGAATATTTAAACCATTATGCAAATAAATCATGAGCTGTCAAAAATCCCTGACTGCAAACAAATTAGAATGAATTATTGTTTTTGTTTGCCCCTTGTGAAAAAGATGCAGTGCCTTTCTTTTGTACTGTATGGGGCCAGATTAACGATGGAGATTAATCTACCATTGACTTGTTGCCAAAACAAACAGAGAGATAAAATGGCTACCTGTTCTGTGAATATGCAAATGACTGTCCAACAACAACAAAAAGTGACTCACACACCAAGTATCATGTTAACAGCCTCAGCCTTGCCTTTCCCTGCTAAATGCTTGTGCACTACGTACTGTCTTTATAGAAATGCGACCTCACTGGTTTGCTGCACTAACCCTTAAACAGTTAAATGATTACATCATTTTCATGTTGTAGCTGTGATTTATTTTTCTTAAAAGGAAACATTTCAGTGTGATGTATTAAACACTGACCTTAGATAACGTTAATCTTTGTGTCATAACTGAACTTGAAGTATTTTCACATCACTGGGAAGTTGGAATAAAAACGTGTGTATATGTCGTCACTAGTGTGTCATCGATGGTTAATTCTGGAAAAAAAACAAAAAAAAAACAGGCTTGTATGATATTTTGAGGCCTTTGTACTTGAGCTGTATCCTGTTAATACTGAGTGAGAATGAAGTGGTGGTCTGTGTCAGTATTACAACTTATTTATCATGTATTCTCGTGTGGCTGCTCCCTCGATTGAACAAGGTGCCTTTTTTGATTCTGTGCCTCACTGTTAGGATTTATTTCTGAACTAAAGATGAAAAACATTCACAATAGATGAAAACACAACTTTTGACAATCCTGAATTTCATTTCAGAAGGGAACTGCCCGAGGTGCTCAAATCATTGTGGCTTTGTTTTCTGTCTACATAAAGCTGTGTCGTTAACATTGATTCTACTGGATAGATTGTGAACTGTTACACAAAGAGCAGCTGTCCCGTGTCATGATGATGTGAATGTCATTTGTGTTTCTATGCTTTTTAAAAAGTGTCTAGCTTGTATCTTCAAATAAAAAAAAATCTTTATTGTGCTTTAAACATGAATCAACGTTCTCATATTTTGCATACTGGCATACAAGTAATTAATTTTCTTCATAAGGAATGAAGTCCATCATCAGGCTTTAAGTGCAGCATGAGTGCTGGAGAGTATTTTTGTTCACCATAGAAGATGCAGCCCTGTAATATCTTAAACAAAAAATGTTCTCCAGAGCTTCCACTTCATCACAGGTCACAGAGGAGGCTGCTCTCGGGGTTCTTGGCATCGACGTCTCCCCAGTATGGCAGAATGAAAGGCAGGTCAGAAACACGAGACTCCAGCAGCTCCCACAGGTGCTGAGTCACAAACTGATTGCCCTTCTCTGAGAGATGGAGCCCGTCAGACAGGTAGACAGAGTAGTCCTGTCAAGCAGAGGATAAAACAGGAAATATGAGGCCATGACGGGTTTCATTAAAGAGAATTTGTCAAATATTAAGAGAAGAGAACTTCATGTGAACTAAACCGAGACAGAAACAAGTAACAAAAAGTTCAATACTTTTAGTTTGTCATGTTAAACATTTGAACAGATACATTTTAACACTGAAGGACGCTACACCACCAACAAACAGTTCATTCACTCTAATTACATTCATTTTTAAAAAGATAATTATTTTTATTCATTATTTAAAAAATCTCTTTTTCATGCACATTCAGTTTGTCAGCTGACCCAGAGTTTGTTATTGGATAAAATAAGGATCTAAAAGTCTTTCTGTACTGTCTGAGCATTTGTTTTAGAACTTTAGCTATGCACAGAAAGTTTCGGATAATTTGTAAATAATGTGCATCGATGTCAGAGTAGCTGATGTCTATCTGTTGCCTCGCATAAATGTGATGCTAAAGTATCTAACTGCTGATTCTGAGAAGAAGTGTTTCTTATCGGGCAGAAAAGGTCACCTGTTTGTGACAAACGCTGATTGGTTTGTAAAGTAATGTAAAAGAGCTTTTTTTTTAACATTTCCTCATCAACATTTCATGTGTAAAACATTCGAGTAAAAGTAAAGGAGGAGGGGATTTTTCTTTAGAGAATACTATAAATGTTCCTAAAAGGACTTTTAAAATGGTGCTTTCCCCCTTTAGATGTTAGGGGAGTTTATGTTCTAGAGAATACTAATAACACTTGCAGGTAATACCCACCTGTCCATCTTTCTGCATGAGTGTCCAGAGGTCCAGGACATCTGCACCACACTGACCGGCAGCCTGGACACACGCCTGAGCATACTGCCCTGTTACAGAGTTGTGCCGATTGAGAGGATATCCTGTAAAAAAAAAAAAAAAAAAGAAAACACACCAGGACAATGTCTTTATAATCATGGAAGTGTCAATATGTGCTTTGTGACACTAAACCTGTGAACTAGCGTTACCTTTCAAAGCGCACTCCTTCTCCCAGGCTGATTCATGAAGAGGTGGAGGGGTGATGAAGATTACTTTGTCTGCTGACACTCCTGCTGAAGCCAGGAACTCAGAGATCTCCTTCAGGTTCTCTGAGTACTCCTTCAAGGGGACATGCTGTTGGGGGGTTTTATCTGCATGACAGGAAGAGGTGGGGGGGGGGGGGGGGGGGGAAGGAGACAGATCCATAAAAAGAACATTTGGATAAAACACTTCATTAAGAGAGACAATATTAAATGTAAAGCTGTGTTTTCAATGAGACAGTTTAGGTATTCCAAGAATCCAAAGCATTTAAAAGTACAATATGACATCTGCAAAGAGTCTTTTAAGCAACAACAAGCAGATACATCTTATTATGAAACCAGATCAACTTGAAAATAAACATGATAATTCAACATTTGAATCACTGCAGGTCCAGCTGAATAAACCTGCACGCGTACCTTCCAGTGCACTGTCGTTTGCTCCAAAGAAGACAGTGACAGCAGCGATGTTGTTGATGTTGTTGATGTTGTTGAGGTGAGGAAGAATTATCTTTGCCCACCTGGAGTTGTAGCCCGAAAATCCTCTATTCACAACATCACACTTTCTGATGGGAGACATGTCAGATACAGGTGTTACTCAACAAGCTGGATCGCTTTCATTACTTGCACTTGGAAAATTCTATCAGTAGCATTAAAAATAATATATATAATATAATAATATAATATATATAACATAATAATATAATATATATAATATAATAACAATATAGTAGTCATAACTCAACTACAGTCAAAGTTGTTTGAATGAGAATAAAATGACCTACCTTACTAGTTTGTTAGCAATTTCTGCCCCCCAGCCATTTGCTTGAAATGAATTCTGAAATAAGCAAAAGCACTGTTATATTACTTAACTTTAACTAGCATTTAGCAGTATATGCTAAATGTTGTTTTTTTTTTTTAATTCTAAATAATGAACTGAGTGACAAACAAAATGAGTACTAATTATTTTTGAATTTCGCGTTTTGCCCGAGCTAACCTGTGTGATGGAGTCCCCAAATAAAATCACTTGAGGCCAAACTATAGTTTTGAGCTTGGACATCATGAATCTGTAAGTGGGAACCACAAACAGAGAAAACTAGGAACCAGGAACAAGGAAAAGGCTGCAAGCAACGATCTTGACTTCCGGTTGGGGGTGGGTTTTGTTGAAATGTACTTCAAAATAAGAGTCTTACCGTCGTTGTTTTTTTTCTCTCTACTATTTACAGTCTATGTTTTCTCTACGCTATTGCATTGCTAGACAGAATCAAAAATGACACACACTGCCTCAAAAATGTAAATTGAAATAACGAGATAACAAGTAAAATGTATAAGTTGTCATGATCTCTCGGATCACAAACCGACTGAACAGTTTATTGGCTGGGTCACCACATATTGTAAAAAACATTATTTAGACAAGTCGTTTTTTTTTTTGTTCAATTTCTTTCTCCCGTCACATGTTTGGTAGCCTCTGAGGTCCAAAGTGCACAATATTTTTTTAATTAAATCAATTTGATTGGTTGAAAAATATCAGAAATGAAGGTTGCGGTTTCTCATGGAGGAGTTTGAGGTGGGTCCAGGGGCTAGACCATTTGAGACCAACTGCTTTAGACAAAATTGGGAAAAAGTGAAAAATCTGGATAATAATCAACAACCAGGAGTTCAAAGTGCTTCACAGGGGACATTTAAACCACCATAGTGGCATATATCGCAGCAAATGAGTGGCATGTGCTGGTCTGGTCCAATCATGCTGCGGTATGTGCGGCATACGAGTGGCATATGCCAGTCTGGTCCACTCATGTGCCACTCATATGGCACTCATATGTGGCGGTCTGGTCCACTCATGTGCTGCAGCATATGTCGCATATGAGGCCATCACATGCTGCGGCACATGAGAGGCATATGAGTGGCATATGCCGGTCTGGTCCAATCATGTGCCGCGGCATATGCTGGTCTGGTGCACTCGTGCCGCGGCATATGCCGCATATGAGTAGCATATGCCCGGTCTTGTCCACTCGTGCAGTGGCATATGCCGCATATGAGTGGCATGTGCTGCGGCATATGCCGGTCTGGTCCACTCATGTACCGACAAAGGGTGCAAGAGGATTTTAACTAAGTAATAAACAGGTCCTTGGTCAAGTTCGTTCAAAAAGGTAGCGTGTGAATCGTGTGAAACATTTGAAATGTAATTTTGTCTAGTAAAAACGAAATCGCTACTTGTCAGCCAGACTGGTTTAATGTTAAAAGGGCTTGCCATAAGCTGACAAATTGTAATTAAGTTACAGATATCTACAATGAACATTTCCACTACTAAAACATTATTTGTGGATGTCTTTAATTAGAATTGTTACAAGTGAAAATTGCATTGCGGATATGTAGGCTTGGTATCCTTAGATGTCAAACAGCAATTATTGATATCTACAATTGCTATTACCGCTACTCATTTAATGTTAAAAGGACTTGTCATAGCAAGGGAGGCTCAGGGCAGGAAAACAATGGGGAGCAGGATCTGAAAGACAGAGACAAGGGTAAGTACAAAATAAAACAGGAATAGCTAACAATACTAAATAAATGAGTAAAAACTAACATGACACCAGGTAACTTTACGTATCGTGTCACAATAGGGTCCTCACTCCGAGGTTGGTGCTCGGGCCCTAATTAAATAAAATAAATTACAAATTAACTTTTGGATTTTTAACAAAGATAGAGTATATTGTAGGACTAAAACTTTAAGGCAAATGTACCCCAAAAAAAACACAGGTAACTGAACTAATGTTGTATCAGAGGCTATATGCCATGAAGTTCAGTTAGATAGTGAAATTGTAGAGTTTTTAAGTTTCTCAAACAAAGTACATTTCAATCAAACCTTTAGTAAAAAATGTGTGTACAAATGAAGTACAGGAAGAACTCTGATACATGTAATAGTTCATGTTTCATGCCTCCTGTTAGGGGGCGCTGCGAGCAGACTCAATGCTTCCTTCTTCTTCCGCCTCTAAACATGGCGGAGGTCAGGCAGCGATTTGGTAGGGGTGCCTATGACTTGGTACTTAAAATAAGCAACAGACACCGCCTGGAAAGTCAGAAGAAACACAGTAAAACCTTTATGAGTTCTTCGTCTCTTTCGCCGGGATTCCTGCACGAAAAGAATCTAAAAGGCGAGTTGTGTGGAGCCCAAAGTGCCGCTGAGAGAGTGACCGCTGGAGGTTCACAGGACTCTTACACAACAGGGTTTGGTAATGTTGACCATGTTTGTGAAAAGGAAAACAACGCAGAATGCAGCTTTCATCTCGGACTCAAAAGGTGTTCGCTTTCTAACAAGGCCTGTCTTCAAAATATAGAAGGAAATTGTCCTCAACACAAACGCAGTGCCGTGTTTAAGAGGAGCTTCTGCACTTTCGGGACCGCTCCATCAAAGAGAGGAGAGTTTGTGTTTGTCCGGGCTTACAGCGGGACCCGCTCCGAGCCCCTTTACAAAACCAAAACAGGCTATTACGAAATCCTGGAGGTGACATCTGACGCCACTCAAGCCCAGATAAAAACAGCCTACTACAAGCAGTCCTTCGTCTACCATCCGGACAGAAACGCCGGCAGCGACGCAGCTACTGTCCGCTTCTCTGAGATCAGCGAGGCCTACACCGTGTTAGGAAACAAGGCTCTGAAGAAGAAGTACGACCGGGGTCTCCTGAGTCAGTCAGACCTCACCGCGTCGGTCAGACCTCCTCCTCCTCCAGCCGGGACACCTCCGGGAGCGCCGCGAAACAGCAACCCGGGAGCCGGCGGCACTCCGTGTTGGACCGAGACAACCGAGGGGGCGTCTTTGATTTCGACCGGTTTTTCAAGGAGCACTACGGCGAGCAGCTGCAGAGACAGAAGGACGTCAGCGCCCGCAAAGAGGAGCTGCTGAAGAGGAAGCATGAGTCGATTGCGGATAAGAAGTTGATCGGGGTCACGGAGGTGGGACTGATGCTGATGCTGTTGATGGCCGTGACTTTAATCGTCAGTTTGAAACGGGGTCACTGAGTGATGTCAGAGGACGAGGGGTGTTGTTTTGTAGACAGGAACTAGTGTGTGTCCTCTCACCTTCAGGGAAACAACGACCTAAAAATAAAATGTAGTGAACCATGGATGATGGATCATCATCTTTTTTTGAGGGGGGTAGCTCTGTAACTGTGCAATTTAAAAAGACCACTCCTCCTCCTCCTGAAGGTGCTTAATGTTAAAGTTACTCACTCTGCAGCATCTCAGCACAGGACTGGTGTCCCATTTGTCGTTAGGATGATGCTTACGATGGTGTCTTCTTTGTTACTACACCTGTAAGTTTACACACATCTATTGTGATCGCCTGCAGGAAGAAATGTTCTCATCTAAAAAAAAAAAATGTTTCAGTTCTAGTTCTGAGGTGTTTCGAAGGACTTTTGTTGTTGCAATTAACAAAGGAGCCAAGCTTGAAATGTAAAATGACTTTAAAATGTCTTTCTTAAAAACAAGCAGAAATTAAAATACATCTTCAAATGATAATATAATCTGATGAAACAGGATTATGAATCACACCAGGTACTTTTCAGGTTCTGGTAGGGATACACTGTTGAGCACCAAGCGCTACAGAAGTTTAGTTAAACCCTCTGCTGTGCCGTGTCTGCAGTCCTTAAATGCGTCCCACCATCTGGTAGGAACACACTGAAGGAAGAAATATTACTGTTTGATTTACAACCGGGCTGCTAGTACTTGTTGTATGTTTTCGACTTTTATAAAGTCATCTGGGAAAGCGGACGTCTTTATTTTTAACGTTTTATCAAGTACCGATTATGTTTAAATGTATTGCTATTTATTTAAAATATTTGTAGCAGTATAAAAAGGTAAAGAATGTGTCGATGAGCTTTATTTCATTATTGGAACTGTGGTTGTATCTTCACATGGTTACGTTAAAGAATGTGCCTTAAATGATATCTACAATGAAATTCACAGATTTTACTGTCGAAAATCTTAATAAAAGATTTGATGAGCCGTGTTTGTCAGAGCTTTGCTCACTGTTTTCACTTCATTGTCAGTCAAAGCACTTCTTCTGTTTCAATCAAAGCGTCTCTTGACAATATTACTGACCAAGTCACAAAATTACTCAGAATTAAAGACACAACAGGTTTTTATAAAAGTCTTACTTGAACATTATTATTATCAACACAAACATTAAGTGCATTTCACATCACAGTTCAAAGTTTAACACGTTTGTCATATCAGTGCAAATCAGTCACAAACTCAGGTAAAACAGAAGCTACAGTGCATCTAGCCATAAACAGTAAACATATAACACATACTTCAAAGAAAGTGCAGGTATGACGAACTAACACTAAAACCTTTTTTTTTTTTTTAAAGAATCCTTATCTTCACAGCTTAGTTCCTTTTCTTACATGCCCGCTGTTCTGCTCCTTAATGTTCAAGGAGTTATAAAAAGAAGGCCAACACTTTAAAAGCAACACATGGAGGACTGTGATTGGTTTATTGCGGCCGTCAATTATGCCAACCAGACTGGATGAGAGACAAGAGCCTAATGATGTTAAAAATACCAAAAGCATCATCCAAATTGTAGTAAAATGTAGCTGGGATGAATCAAAGTAAACACTAGATCCTCGCTGTGTAGAAAATATGGATGCCATTCTAATCTCCTGTGCTTGGTGGAGATGCATGTTGTCCAGTTTTTAAGCACACAAATACCTCCAGTTTGATAAACCCCCGACACAGAATTCTTTGCATGTATACCTGTGGTGTCTGAACTTGAGATACTTTGTTCCTCTTTCGTCGAAACTCACATCTGCAGTCCTGGCTCGGCCCTCAGATGACGGGTTTAGTGCATCATAGAGCCGCTGCACTGCCAGCTCCACCATCTCCCTCAGCGAGTCGTCCTCGGTGCTCTCATCCTCGTAGCACACCGACTATTCAAGGGCAAGAAAGTCAGCGAGAAAGGCTACAAAAACATTCTACACTTAATAAATCACACTGACAAGTTAAAGGCTTCTCACCCTCGTTTCCAAGCAAATGAGAACTGTCTTCCCGTCTACTGTCAGAGATATGTTTTTACCGTCACTGAAATCCACAAACTCCTCTCCAAACATGTCCCTAAAGACAAAACAGAGAACCAA